ACGTGTCCAACTAATTACAAGGAATAAATATTGAATTTTTCTGTTTACAAAAGAAATGAACGCATACTGTAAGCCAACGATAAATGTCTATGTAAAAAGGAACTATCAATAGGTTTAAACTAGTCTCTAATAAGATCTCCACAAATATCTTCAGGTTTCAATCATGTCTTACCACAAATATGATTTTGAGTTAAATATTTATCAATCATACTCAAAACCACGAATATAAAGAAATTTGTAATTCAACATGATTTTATTAAAAAGACACATTCGAATGCAAAAAAGACACTTGGAGATCCTTAGAAATTTATCGTAGGTGAAGCTGACTCTTCACATTTTGAAAATATTCGAATATTCGATATTCAAAATTGGAGATATTCGAAACAAGAAAATTTTCGGCCATACACGTCTTCCAGTCGATTACAGTCATTATTGCTGTGCACTCGTTTGATCATGGTCTATTCGTATTATTGCTTAGTAAATTTAAAAAAGAAACGTTCCTTCGAACAATCACACCGCGAACCAATTGATACCCGTTGAATCGATCGCAATCGATCGACCGTTATAAGTCTGGCTCTGTTTTCTGTTTCGTCGGCATACAGTCGTTTCTGGGATCGTTTATTGTTTATGGCTGCCGTTGTTCTCGCGGTGATTATCGCACACCGTCGAACCGCTCGAAACTTCGTTGGAAAACAACATCGATCGATGAACACTAACACGTGGTACGTACAATGGTGCATAAAAGTATTCAAACAGCGTGTTCGTTCTTTTCACAAGAATGTCTGCATTCTGGCTCGAATACGAAATTAATTTTTAATAATTAAGATCAAACTGTACCTCTAAAACAGAATTTTAGATACAGAAAATTCATTCACCCAAAAATTTCGCAGATCTCAATACGTCACTTTTCACCTAATCAAATTTTATCTATCTACTAAATTGTATCTACAACCTCAGTACATCACCCTGTATAAATACGCCTAAATTGAAAAAACAATAGTTCAAAAATAAATCAAATTTGATACTAAATATCGTGTCCGACAAGATGGCGCGTGAATCAATAAGATCCGTACAGCCATCAGGCGTCAACTCACCAGACACGTAAATTACGAAAAACACTATTGTTCGAATATTTCAATGCACCTGTAGTCTAAAAAAGATCATACGTATATACGCGCATGCGCGCAGCATTTCGTGCGCCACAAGCATGCACGTGGCACTTGTTATGTACAGATATTCACACACCCTATACGTGTACCATAAACGTAGTCTATGCAAAAGTCCTTCAAATACGGTATACATAGGTACACTACAGCGTTTCGACGCCAGTTAATTCATTATCTTGCCTTCCTCTTCGATAGAATCATATGTGTGTATGTGTGTGTATATATATAATATATACCTAGATAGGTTTCGTCGATACCATAGAGGTACATGGGTAATTGTTTACGCGATTTATGTACAAATTATCACGGTTTCAGGTAGCCGAGAAGATCAGTAAACGGACATATAGCGAACGTTTTGGCATAGTCGGTTCGGTGAGAATTATACCATTATTGTTGCTTCGTGATCGTATGATGATCGATCGATAATCTGTTTGTATTAGAGGATTGTCGATGTGTATGCAATTGTATAGTTTCTATAGGGATTTGTGTGGAAAGTAGGACTTTCGTTGTGGTATAGTTGATAATTGAGGGATAATTGGTGATAATTGCTGGAAGAAAAGTTACAAGAATATTTAGGAACGTACTGCTAATGTGTATTATAGCAAACTTAGGTTATATCGTCATAATTCTATTGCATGATCACGTGTTGGATACTCAGTTTTTCGATTAAGATGTGTTTCACTGTCAAAAGTTGAATAACCATGCGTTGTATTACTAAGCGTTGAATTATCAAGTTTGGAGACACCACGCGTTGAATTATCAAGCATGGAGATACTGCGCGTTGAATTATCAAGCGTGGAGACACCACGCACTGAATTATCAAGCTTGGAGACACCACGCGTTGAATTATTAAGCTTGGAGATACCACGCGTTGAATTATCAAGCTTGGAGACACCACGCGTTGAATTATCAAGCGTGGAGATACCACGCGTTGAATTATCAAGCTTGGAGACACCACGCGTTGAATTATCAAGCGTGGAGCTACCACGCGTTGAATTATCAAGCTTGGAGACACCACGCGTTGAGTTATCAAGCGTGGAGGCACCACGCGTTGAATTATCAAGCATGGAGTTACCACGCGTCGAATTATCAAGCGCGAGGCTATCACGCGTTGGATTATCAAGCATGGAGCTACCACGCGTCGAATTATCAAGCTTGGAGACACCACGCGTTGAATTATCAAGCTTGGAGACACCACGCGTTAAATTATCAAGCTTGGAGACACCACGCGTTGAATTATCAAGCGTGGAGGCACCACGCGTTGAATTATCAAGCACTGAGTTGCCATGCGTTAAATTATCAAGCGTGGGGCTATTATCCATTGAATTATCAAGCATAGAATTACCACGCGTCGAATTATCAAGCATAGAGTTACCACGCGTTGAATTATCAAGCATAGAGTTACCACGCGTCGAATTATCAAGCATGAAGTTATCACGCCTGGAATTACCACGCGTCGAATTATCCGATACTGAGTTATCACGCACTGAATTTCCACGTGTTCTGAATAGTAAAACGTTGAATAACCATGCGTTGAATTATCAAACGTGGAATAACCGCGCGTGAAATTATCTATCATTGAAATATAACGCCCTCAAGTCGTCCAACTTTTACCTTCACATGCAATATTTTGCAAATTACAAAAATTCTCCGCCGCTCCATTTATGACAATATAACCGTCCACTATAATATCACAATTACTACTAACATAAATACTAACATTAACGACGATATCTTTCTCACGCACAACTGCATAAACATCCGCAATCTAGTCATAAAAAGTTCTCACAATATATATAGTCTTCAGCTAAATTCATAAGGCGAAATTCACGGTTATTGTAAGGCGATATAAGTCGTTTATACTGTTGATAAAAGTGTGACATGTGCGGTATAAAGTTACGAGAAGAATCATCGATCGAACGTCTTTAATCTTCGAGGAACAAACATGGCGGCGCCGAACCGACTATACGCAACGTTCTCGTCTCAAATGTAGCGGGTAATAATAAAGTTTATATACTGCGCGGTAACAAAAAATTCAACGTCCCTTCGCCGGCTATTTTTCCCTGTTTCGAAATTAATTTTAACTTCAATATTCTTTTTTTCTCTTTTCTCTTTACTTCCGCTTCGTTCATTAAACGTCGGCGCTTACGCGGAAAGCAGAACTCAACGATAGAACTCTGAACGCTACGAACACGATACACAGAGCAGAAATTTTATTTTCCTACGGGAGCGGCGAAAATCGTAGCCGGACTAAGCGCAAACGTTTCGTATAATATAAATTAGGGATGTGCGAGAATATGTTGGGTTTAATTGGGTAAATTCTCTATATTTTTCTGTTTGAATGAAAACGTATTTCTTGAGAGAAACGAAACAGGTGAGCTAGTATATTAGTTTGTTATAGCCCCGCCTCTGCAGCCCCCAGCGCAGGGAAATATCAAGACTCTCTTCCTATATATCTGCTATTTTACGATTCTTATAACTTGTCACTTCACAAATAATGAAATTTAAGCTCCAAAAATGAGAAACCAACCTAAAAATTTTAGGAACCGTCCCAATTTAGTTCTCGCACACCCCTAACGCAAATATCCTTTTTTTTACCATTTTCCTCGCATATCTTCTTCAAATTTCTAATAAGATCAAACATCAAATTCATCTGATCATATTTTCCCGCCTCTTTTCGGCCGCCCAATTATTTTTTTTCGCTAACGCACACGCACGATTTAGAATAAATTTTCGCTAATCGTTAATTAGTTAAATATCACAATCTATGATAAGAAGTTCGTAAATGTATGCGTATAGATATATGCCACCTGTCGCGTACGCTGAAGAAACACTAGCAGCGCCCCGCGCAAATTAGAACCGACACATGTTTTACAAAAATAAATCGTCTCGGGGTTACACACGATGATGGCTATCTAATTACATTGGGACAATGGCTCGCTAAAGTCGTCCGCCGTGATTCGGCAATAAAACGAACAGAAAATACAATTGATCCGTCTGCTCGAATCTCCACGAAAGACTAATTCATTAATTTTCTATTTAATCGTCTACGTGCCTCATCGATGAATTTCATCGACGGAGCAGAAATTTTGATCCTAAGCGAGCGAATTATTTTATCGTGGCATGATTTATCGCTAAAGAGGTACTGCCATCGACTATCGACATATCAATAATTTCGTTAAGGTTTATGAAATGAAATAGTCTGTAATTTTACCAGTTTAGGTTAGGTTCGGTCAGGTTGGTTGATATTACGTTTCAATCTGTTGCATTATGGGTAGATTAGGGAGAGAACTTGTTACAGTTATTATAGTTTAAGTTAAATATGTTAGGTTAGGACTAAATTAGGCTAAGTTAAGGTCGAATTAGGTTAGGTTATCTTAAGGTTGAGTTAGTTCAAGTTAAAGTTAGATTAAGATAAGGTTAATTAGATTAGGTTAGGTCGTATTAAGTCAGGGCAGGTTAGGTCCTGTTAACAATGAATTATAGCAAGTTAGGTAAAATTAGGAGTCATTCAAACTGAACTTGAAATGTAACCCAGTTTCTAACAAGAACAATTAAATTTAAATGAATAAAATTGCAGCTTGAATTCCAAAATGTCAGCTGTCTATCAAAATCTTAACGATACTATCAATACATCAAGTTATCGATTACGTCGAAAGCAGCTCAAAACGCGTCACACTCTTCCCATCGTACACAGAAGCGGAATCGTTCTAAACACAAATAATATACCAAATAAAGACAACGACGAATGAGAAGAAATATTATAATAATCGACGACGGTACGTTTACTGAGGTCGCGTAGGTGTCATACGTAAAAATGTTGAAGAGATCGTGATCGATAAAAAAAATATATATATATGTATGTATACTATGATATTATATGTATATATGTATATGTTATGTACAAGATGAGAGACCATTTGATTTGTACACGGATCGAATCGTGGAAAATAAGTCGAAGTTTCTACGCGCAAAAAATCCTTCTCGTCGGCCGTTCCGTGTGTCGTCCAAACTATTCTCATTTGTCAGATATAATATTTACAAAAAGGACAACGTGTAATGATCTCTTGGTACGATATTTACAAAACGTTCACGGCGCATCCACCCGCGCCGTCACCTACTTATGTATTCGTTTTTTTCCTTTTTTTAATCAAGCTACTCTACTTGAACGTACGATAAACGTTCTGTATGTACAACGTAATTTGTTGGCTGGTCATTTCGCGTGCGAGTCCCTTTATCCATTTGTACACAGGGACAATTTCGATGTAGCTTCTCCGTCTCGTTCCTGCTTCCTTCCGACCCACAGAAACTCGTCCAGAACATAAACATCGCATCCTTTCCTGTCAACGAACCTGCGTCCGCGTCAGAGGAAATATCGCGAACCTCGATCTCGGTAAAAAAAATTCATCGTGGAAAGGAATTGTACATCAGTCGGTGTCCTAAACTACCTACTACTGCCAATATAATACTTGAAAAGGGCTAGCATTGCTATTGTCGCATCACTCTTTGTGACATTTCGTCGTGAAAAATATAATTATCGGAAACAGAAGCATCGTTGATACAAAGATGCTGCTCTTATGGATTCGATGGACGTTTCAGGGGATGCGTCATTTACGGTCGTTGTGAAATCGAGGAATGTTTTGCAAATTCTACAAATCATCTTCTCCAGGATGTACTAAGGTTCCAAGAGTACACAAACTTCTCGGGCAAGTTCGGAAAAACGATCAAATCTGGATTTAGAAATTTAAGCTGCTTTGAGAATTTAGAAAATTTGATTTTGTTCCGAATCCCGACTACTTCCGACCCCGTACATCCCTCCATTTTCTGCCCAACATAAAGTAAACCAGAACATATCCGAATCCCCTAAATCGACCAATCCATTAGCCTGCCTAACTCCTCGATCCCGAGGCACCTAAGTTACAAACATCGCTCGAGCGAACGTCGTCACGTGACTCCGTAAAACCCATAACCGAAAGAAGAAGGTACAAATAACTAACCTTGGATGTTGTTCGGCAGAGAAGCATGCAAAGGACACATCTCAATTCCACGTAACGACATAGCGCTTTATCACCGTGCGCATGCTCACATCGATGTCACCAAACATCAAGACTTGTCCCTTCTCGACAGGCTTCAGACCTAGCATATCGACGGCGACCTAACAGGACGACCATGAAAAAAAACGGATCTCGAAAAACGGAGGAGGTAGACAAACGCGTGTGTCGCACGGTCCTCAGCCTGGAGTGGGTGGGGTCTTATGTCAGTGAATATTAAAATTATACTGCTTACGGCTGGACGAAATACGAAGCCACCGACTGACGGCCAGTGGCTCCGGGTGACAGTTCGACCAGGATATGTCGCCGAAATGTGGATACGGCGAGGAGGTGGTGGTAGCCTCGACCTGTATCGCCGTAGGCAGGTCCTGTTGGAAGTCGTGCTTGCTCCTCTTCTGTCGCTGCGTCACGGGACTCGAGTGGGTGGCGTGGTTCAGTCTCTTCCCATTGATCTGGGTCGCGTGTTGCTGTTCCAGTTGCTCCAACTGCTCCAGCTGTTCCATGGGCTCGAATATGAGGCTGGGCATAGAGGCCTGTACCTGTTGGTAACTCCTGGATATGGGGGAATGCGCGATATTGTTCGAACGCGGTAATTGCACCACCAACTGCGACTTGTCCTTGTAAACGGGCGAGTAGATGGTCATGGCTGCTTCAGGGTCGATGTCGATCGGCGTCTCGGCCTCGAGGACAGTCGTCACCAAGGATGGCTGCGTACAGGTGGCTGGCAGTGTGGCAGGTACCGATATCGCCGGAGAGGCCGTGCTCGGTATCAGCGTGGCGACAGACGACTCTTCGTTGTTCGCCGGCAACGGTGACAGAGAGGGCAGCACCACGGATATCGGCGCCATCATAGAACTCGACTGCGACGAACCGGTCGAGTTCACCAGCGATGACTCTAAACTTCTTAACTCCTCGTTCGCGAAGTCCTCCTCGAGTTTGGTCTAAAACAAAGCGTTTGCAACTCGATGTAAGAATCGTTTCTAGGACTACAATTGCCCAAATGAAAGCATGCCTTACAGGTTTAGTGGAGCCATGCGGGGCCAGAGACCGATAAAGCGAATCAACTGCCTGCAATGACAAAAACAGAGAACAGGTAACCGACACCCTTGTGGAAGAACTACGGCTGACTCTCGTTCTAGGTTTGTCTGCGATATTTTACTAGGTCCGATATGTTTGTCTTGGTGCGTCTTAAGAGATCTACGAAGACGGGGGTACTGTAACATACTTGATGTCTGACGAACGAATTTTGGGCGGTTCCTGTTTTCTTTTTGATCTAGTTTCTTTTGAGATCCGTAGAAAATGGAAGTGGACGGATTGTGTCTGTCAAACAACTCGCAGACACTAAAGTTTCGGATTTGGCTCTTAGGTTGGAAATTTTAGAACATGAAAATTTAGAAATATAAAAATCTAGAGATTCACAAACTCTTAATTTTCAAATTGAGAATTGATTACACATTAAATGCTTACAAGTGCAACCTTTTGCAGAATTGTTTTCTAATAAAATTTATATACAATAATAGTTAGACTCGTGAATGTACTTTGTTGGCATGGCCCCACTAAAATTCGTAAATTTCTTAGCTCCTCTTCTGTCGCTGCGTCACGGGACTCGAGTGGGTGGCGTGGTTCAGTCTCTTCCCATTGATCTGGGTCGCGTGTTGCTGTTCCAGTTGCTCCAACTGCTCCAGCTGTTCCATGGGCTCGAATATGAGGCTGGGCATAGAGGCCTGTACCTGTTGGTAACTCCTGGATATGGGGGAATGCGCGATATTGTTCGAACGCGGTAATTGCACCACCAACTGCGACTTGTCCTTGTAAACGGGCGAGTAGATGGTCATGGCTGCTTCAGGGTCGATGTCGATCGGCGTCTCGGCCTCGAGGACAGTCGTCACCAAGGATGGCTGCGTACAGGTGGCTGGCAGTGTGGCAGGTACCGATATCGCCGGAGAGGCCGTGCTCGGTATCAGCGTGGCGACAGACGACTCTTCGTTGTTCGCCGGCAACGGTGACAGAGAGGGCAGCACCACGGATATCGGCGCCATCATAGAACTCGACTGCGACGAACCGGTCGAGTTCACCAGCGATGACTCTAAACTTCTTAACTCCTCGTTCGCGAAGTCCTCCTCGAGTTTGGTCTAAAACAAAGCGTTTGCAACTCGATGTAAGAATCGTTTCTAGGACTACAATTGCCCAAATGAAAGCATGCCTTACAGGTTTAGTGGAGCCATGCGGGGCCAGAGACCGATAAAGCGAATCAACTGCCTGCAATGACAAAAACAGAGAACAGGTAACCGACACCCTTGTGGAAGAACTACGGCTGACTCTCGTTCTAGGTTTGTCTGCGATATTTTACTAGGTCCGATATGTTTGTCTTGGTGCGTCTTAAGAGATCTACGAAGACGGGGGTACTGTAACATACTTGATGTCTGACGAACGAATTTTGGGCGGTTCCTGTTTTCTTTTTGATCTAGTTTCTTTTGAGATCCGTAGAAAATGGAAGTGGACGGATTGTGTCTGTCAAACAACTCGCAGACACTAAAGTTTCGGATTTGGCTCTTAGGTTGGAAATTTTAGAACATGAAAATTTAGAAATATAAAAATCTAGAGATTCACAAACTCTTAATTTTCAAATTGAGAATTGATTACACATTAAATGCTTACAAGTGCAACCTTTTGCAGAATTGTTTTCTAATAAAATTTATATACAATAATAGTTAGACTCGTGAATGTACTTTGTTGGCATGGCCCCACTAAAATTCGTAAATTTCTTAAGGACGCTATGGAATATTATACTTCAAACCTTTTTCTAAGTATCTAGTATCAGTTACAAAATTTCAAACTTATCAAACATTCATTTTGGGATGACCATTTAACGATTTGCTTGGATCTTTTCAACATTTATCAAGTCTACTTTAAGACAGTGAAACTGAGGAACCATTTTGAGTATAACATGAAGATTATTTCAATACAAAATTTCCTGAGGTTCAAGGAAAATCCAAGAAAAGTGAAAGAGGATCTGGATTATTCTTCTGTTCTGCAGGTTTACTCTGCTCCATATATCTACCGCGAAATGAAAGTTCCATAAACATGAAACTAATACCATGCACGTTTAATAAAAAAAATCTACAAAACTAAAATTTTGTTCAAATGCACAAAAGGACATTTCAATGACGCGGGAAAGAAGGATTTCCGCAGCATGGAACAAAGGATTACGACTTTTCTATGAGAAATAAAAAAGCAACAAATTCTTGATGGGACGCCTCATTAACCTTTTAAAGTCGAGTAAATAACAATGAAACGCTAAAGTGAAACGAGAGGATTTCGAAACACGAACGATCATAACATGCACTCGGGTACAACGTAGGAGTCCCTACATTAGTAGTAAGTGAGAGGGTGAAGACATTCTCCATTTGGGAATTTAAGGATTGACCTTGAAAATTTAGGGACTCGTGGATTTCAGAGTTTAGGGATGTAATTTGGAATTTTTTTAATTTTGATATTTGGATAGTTATGGATTCGGTAATTTGGAAATTTTCAAATTGGGACACTCAGAAAATTGGTAATTTGCGAATCTGGAATTTTGTAAATTGGGATACTCAGAAACTTGGTAATTTTAGACTCTGGAATTTTGTAAATTGGGATATTCAGAAACTTGGTAATTTGAGAATCTGGAACTTTGGAAGTTGGGATACTCAGAAACTTGGTAATTTGAGAATCTGGAATTTTGTAAATTGGGATACTCAGAAACTTGGTAATTTGAGAATCTGGAACTTTGGAAGTTGGGATACTCAGAAACTTGGTAATTTGAGAATCTGGAACTTTGGAAGTTGGGATACTCAGAAACTTGGTAATTTGAGAATCTGGAACTTTGGAAGTTGGGATACTCAGAAACTTGGTAATTTGAGAATCTGGAACTTTGGAAGTTGGGAGAATCTGGAATTTTATAAATTAGGATACTCAGAAACTTGGTAATTTTAGAATCTGGAACTTTGGATACCCCAATAATTTGGGATTTTGCAAATTTGGTAATCTAGGAGTGTAGACATTTGGAAATCTGAAAACTTGAGAAGAACTGAGGTAAGTATAGAATTCTCCCGTAGCCCAAAATCCTACGCTGCATCCCCCAGGAATACAACAGAACAGCAAGACAAGGAGAGCAACATCGGGTGTCTTACCTTTGGCAGTGGATACGTGTCTGGCAGCGATAAAACGGGTGGCGAACTGGGTGCTTCCGTTTCGACGGTCAGTGTGGGTGTGGTAGGTGTTAGGGGATTCAAACTGGAGGTCGTCGAGGACACAGTGACCGTACCGGTTACGGTCACCTTCGTCGGCCGGTTCGGCACCTCTTTCGAGGCGCGGTGTTCCGCGAGGAGCTTGTCGAAGGTTTTGCTCCGACCGATGACTGTCCGACGCAACGAGACCGTATGCGCTTTGCACGTGAGCGACCTGGTGCAAGGTTTCCCGGTCTCGTCGTTCCACACCCCGCAATGTCGATCGGGATCGTACTCGCGGTCCTTGAGCAACGACCGATCGGTTTTCAACCTCTTTCGTCGAGGCGGACACGCCGTACCAGGACTTTTCACCGGACTCGAGGCGACAACCGATCCGCTAGAATTGGACGCCTGAACCGGTATCGATTCTAGAGGAGATCGAGGCGACGAGGAAATCGGTATCGACGACGAGGACAAACTCGTTGAGATGCTCGGCTGTTCGGCGTTACGTTTCACGCTTGTGTGATTGATTTTACTGCCGGCGGTGATCTGCGGTGATGATTGAGTCTTTTTCAGCTTCGACACTTTACAGTAAGGTGTTTTCACGGGAGGTTTTACGACTGGAGTGGTAGGAGGCGGAAAATTGACCGTGCCAGTAGGATGACGACTTTCTGTGACAAAATATAGACTGCATTTATACCTAGTGTTAAATTCTTTCCATAAACAACAATATTCCTTTCTTGATGAGTATTAACCCTCTCATGCATGGTGTCCACATATGTGGACATTTATGTAAATTTCTCTGTCACTGAAGATAATTTAAAGATTTCATTTGTTAAATATTTATAAAGGTGTATAATAACTCATTGCTAACTAGGATTTGTTTTCAGAAATAAATGTGAATTAAAATAAATTTATATATAGGAGAATAAATTTCCTTAATATTAACCCTTATACATATGCTTGCTACATGCAACATTTCAACTCAATTCTTCTCATTATTGACTAATTATCTTGTGTTCATAACATCCACATACAGTCATTCAACTAAATATGTAACATCCAGTTAACATTGTTTCAGACTTCTATTAAAATCTCATATTTTTGGAGCAATGTATGTAAAACAAGGAAAATTTATGCATGAGAGTGTTAAGCTTTTAATGATATTGAAATCAAGGCACATACTCGAGTTTGTCATATAATGCAGACATTAACAGTGGAACAACAACAAAATTCACGTACCCATATGTTGAATGAGAGCTTGTGGTTTGACTATAGCATGGCACGTTTCACATACTACCGTGTAAAAGGTATCTCTTTCGGGACAAAATCCGTATAAATCAATATCTGAAAAGAAAAATATTTTTTTAATAAAGGAACAATGTGTTATTTGTTGAAAATGATATTGCTATTATTACATCACAGTTATTTATGAACCATTATTTACCTTCTGATGAAAGCCGTGTAACCGAGCTGGAAAGTTGAGCTTCTGATTCTTCATCGCCTGAAACAAACCGAATCCTCTTATGGTACGAACAATTCAGTATCTAATGTTTTTTATAAAAAATGTTTGGAACTAATATCTCAAATTAATTATATACATTATACTGAATTTATAATACTGAGTTTAATTCATATTTCCAAAACAAATACTCGAAGGCAAGAGATAAAAGATTATCATGATTAATCTTGTAGCTCGGTATAAAGTTCAATCTCGCAAAGTTATAATCTTAATTATAATGTTAATGCAGAATTACAATAAATTACACTATACTACGTTAAACCCGTATCAAATCTTGTCCATAAAAGATCTTTTTCTTATACATTTTTGTCAGTATCAAGTAGAATGTGAAATAAAAAACACAAACTTCTGGGTAAACAACTTTTATTAAGTTTACATTTTGTACATGCATAATCTCTCTAGGAAAGAGCACAAATATAAAAAATACAAGTGTACATAATATTAAATACGAGCAAGGCATATCAAACAGCGCGTACGGTCCGAGATAATCGACCGGATTCTCAATTGATATCCATGCCATATCCTCTAAAGACTAACGTTTCGACGCTCCGTATTTCGCACAGTTAAGATTCGCTACGAATTACATAATTGTCAACAAAAATGTACGACAAAATGCCCGAGAGAATAAGCAAAAGACGAAGCGCGCTGGACAATTGTTGGCGACCGTTTCAAGATAAATGTGTACGAGGGATCCCAACGATGCCCTGTGTCAAAGTCGACGGACAAAGAGGAGCATCGAAGTTGAGGTTAGGTACACGAGCTAGACGCTCGTCACCGTTGTCGCGTTTCGAGCAGCGACAGCGGACGAACGAACGTACATTTCGATCAGATTCAGCGCACTTACTCAACGGCTTGTCTCGTCCGATTCTTTCGATCCAGCTGGACCAGGGCTGGCCGTGAAAGAATGTTGGGCTGTCACTTCCCGACATTGCCAGTGGCGCTCGCGTTGTGAATGAAACACGATGCGATTTCTCGTGTATATAGCGAGGCGAAAGTGTTTTGGGGCCGGGCCGCGTGGACTGCCAGGTACGGCGGCGGGTCGCGTACAATCTGCCTTTTTCTTCGCACGACAGCTCATCGAATACATTTGCGGGTTAATTAATGCGTGTTGTTTATGAATGGAAAAGGTTATCGTACGATAATGTCGACTGGCATGTTCCTGTCGGGATACATCTCTCACGGACCCGAGATTCGACCACTTCTTTCGCGTTTGTACGCCCGATTACGAGTAGCACGCCTCGGCGTACGGCACGCACGTAAGGTTATTACTGAGATACTGCGCTTGCATTGGACGGAGCGCCGTGACGTCACGGTCGCGTGCGCCAATGCGCGTGCGTGGCTCACTCCGACCAATCCGTACCACGAATTTATGCATCGTCGCGACTCGTTTGCGCTTTCTATTGGCTCTCGCGAACTGCTCAGCAGGTGGATTGGAAATTTAAAGAGTTTTTCGAGCACACTCGAACTCTGCCTTGTTTAATTAATATCCCTTTATTCTTTGTAAAAGACGAACTGTTTGAAAAATTAGATCGAATACTCTTCTTTACAGTTTCGTAGGAAAAAGGAACAATCTTTCACGGAAATAAACTGATAGATTCAAACTTGAATTTTTGCACCATCTTTTATTATCGGTTACTAATGACGGAGATCATAAACACGAGTAACGTGAAATTTTATACATAATGTTTCATCACATTTATTGAAAAACATTATCTTCCGTGAATGAACACATGTGTTACTTCGTGATAGAATTATGGATCAACGTTGCGTCAACGTATTTTGTTTACAATATCTATTCACTAAACATCGATTATTATATTTATTAATCTCCATAAATGGTAGCGAGTTTTACAAAAATATAATTAAGAATAAATAATTTTGTAGGAAATTTAACAAATTACATAATAAGTCACTGGATATCTATCCTGTGTCGAATAGTCGCACCATCAGTATGAAATGAAGAAGATTTTGACTAGTAAACAATCGACAGCAGCGTGTCTAAAATGAAACAATTAAGCGAGATGATAATACTCAAAGATGTATTATTTTAACCCGCGAAGAACGATCTCGAGTTAGGTTGCGTTTGAACCGGTTGTGCCGGGTTGTTCGCGTCACCCCGATGCGCCTGAATCTGTTGCCAATTAATGAACCAGAAAGGTTGCTTTTCCCTCGGCCAAGTTTTAATTCTGTTTATCAAATCGATGTCTCCCAAGGCGTCCACGGGTATATCCTGAGGAATCGTCGTGGCGCTGGTCGTACTTGAAGATCCAGGTAACTTGGAAGTTTCGTTTGCATCGATTCGGTTTGCAACAGTAGGAGAAGCTGGAGCAGCGCCGACAGTAGGAGAAGCAGCACTGAGAGTTGGAGCAGCAGGAGGAGCAGCGGCAGCTGCTGCGGCAGCTTGTTCCTCGATATATTGTGGAAGTACTTGAGGATAAGGCTTGCTACTTCCGGCGTAAGGTGGCCTTTGAGACTGCACCAGAACGAAGGCGGTGAAAAGAATTGCGTACCTTATCTGGAAGATAAAGGAATATGATCTTTAGTTGTGCGATGGGGTTTTGAGGTGTGGTTAGATATGAAGTGTAATTTGGTGTGGGTTATATGGGAGTGGGAGTATGGAGAGGATGTGTAAGAAACTAAGGAGAGACTAGGAGGAGGCTAGGGAGTTTAGGGATTTTTCAGAAAATTCAGAAATTTTAGTTTTTTAATTTTAAAATTTGCAAATTTGCACAGATATAAATTTGTATATTTTTCAAATTCTAGATTTGGAAGTATTTAAATTGCTAGATTTCCATATTTTTCAATTTTCATATTTCCTGAATTCCTAAATTCTTGAATTCTTAAATTCCTAAATTCCTAAATTCCTAAATTCCTAAATTCCTAAATTCCTAAATTCCTAAATTCCTAAATTCCCAAATTCTCAAACTCTTAAGTTTTCCAAATCCCCAAACTTACAAATCCTGAAATTACTAAATTACTAAATTACTAAATTTCTAAATTTCTAAATTTCTAAATTACTAAATTACTAAATTACTAAGTTACTAAGTTACAAAATTACTAAATTACTAAATTACTAAGTTACTAAATTACTAAATTACTAAATTACTAAATTACTAAATTACTAAATTACTAAATTACTAAATTACTAAATTACTAAATTACTAAATTACTAAACTATTAAATTACTAAGTTACTAATTACTAAGTCACTAAATTATTAAGTTACTAAGTTACTAATTTAATAAATTACCAAATTACTAAATTACTAAATTACTAAATTACTGAATTGTCAAATTATCAAATTTCCAAACCAAAAAATTCCTAAATAGCAAACTTCCTATATCTCCAAATTCTGAACTCCCTAAATTCTTAAATTCTAAAATCCCTATATCACCCCAATGCTACAATCCTAAATTTGTAAATTATTAAATTATCAAATCTCAAATTTGCAAGTTTCCAAATTTCAATATCTTGAAATCACTATATCCCTAAATTCCTAAATTACTAACTGTTCAAATTCTCAAACTTCAAAATCACCAAATTTCCAAATGTCCAAATCCCTATATCCCTAGATCACCAAATCCCCAAATTTCCAAATGTCCAAATTCCTATATCCCTAGATTACCAAATCCCCAATTTTCCAAATGACCAAATTCCTATATCCCTAGATCACCAAATTCCCAAATTTCCAAATGACCAAATTCCTATATCCTTAAATCACTAAATCCCCAAATTCCCAAATGTCCAAATTCCTGTCTTCCTAAATCACTAAGTCCCCAAATTTTCAAATGTCCAAATTCCTATATCCCTAAATCACCAAATCCCCAAATTTTCAAGCGTCCAAATTCCTACATCCCTAAATCACTAACTCCCCAAATTTCCAAATATCCAAATTCCTACACCCCTAAATCCCCAAATCCCCAAATTTCTCAAACCCTCAACTTCCCAAATTTCCCTAGAAAACTCCATTATACACCCAACCCCTTAAACCTCACAAAACAAAGCAAATTTATTTTTGCCTCCAAAAACCAATTATTCTCCTTCATAGAAAAATAAACACGAATTATTATTAACACAGCAATTGCAAAATTCCCTATATAATTAATCCTGTTCTTCTACCCGAAGCGTTTATTGAACATATCAATCAACTACACCTACATTCACCGTATTTAATCAACAGTCCATATTTACAATCGCGAATTTTCGAATTAACAAGATTACTCACCATGATGATATCGTGTATTAATACTGTGTAATAATCTGTAAGCTTGTATTTCGCAGAGGAACGATGCGATCTCTCGATTTCACTGTTCGACACTAATGTATTCAAAGCCGATGGTGGCTCTTGTATATAACTCTGTCCAGATACCGGATTCCCCACCACGATACCATCGAGTCATGCTTCGATGGGAAATCGCCGCAACTTCCCGTGCCCGGTTCTCCAAACACATGTACGTACGCATCTTTTCAAAACGTGACATTCAGTGTCAGGGAAAACGTGTTCGACGTCAACACACACTCCTACACTAATTTCTCTTCGCGTTCGACATCTCGATTCACGTGAAATCTTTCCGGTTACGAGAAATGGAACAAATCTTGTCGGACGCGTCTTGACCTCAAACACGAGCGAAAGATTCGCGATCGAATGAAAGTTTCGAACTAGTTGGTTCAACTTTGGAAAGTAAACTTCTTTGGGCCATTTCGAAGGTTTTAAAACGATTCGGTGGATGGGTCTTTTTTTGGATGGGTTCTTTGTGGATTGATTTATAGGGATTGCAGGAGTTTTGGGGGAATTCTAGGGGAAGATAGGGGAGAGGAGATTTTTAGGGAGGATGGAGGAGTTTGTGGAGGGTTGGAATCTAGGGGAATAGAGGAGTAAGCAAAGGAAGATATTAAGATTTATGATATTTGGATTTGGTAAATTTTTAGGCCACTAATGTCCTCAATTTTTAAATCACTAAGTTTTCAAATTCTATATCTCCAAGTTACTTAATTTCCAAACTCTTAAATTCCTCAATTTCCAATTCTCTAAATTCTTAAATTCTCAAATCCCTAAATTCCTCAATTTCCAGATCCCCAAATTCCTTAATGTCCAAATCCCCAAATTTCTCAAATTCCAACTCTCTAAATTCCTAAATTTTCAAATTCTCAAATTCTCAAATTCTCAAATTCTCAAATTCTCAAATTCTCAAATTCTCAAATTCTCAAATTCTCAAATTCTCAAATTCTCAAATTCTCAAATTCTCAAATTCTCAAATTCTCAAATTCTCAAATTCTCAAATTCTCAAATTCTCAAATTCTCAAATTCTCAAATTCTCAAATTCTCAAATTCTCAAATTCTCAAATTCTCTAAGTTACTTAATTTCCAAACTCTTAAATTCCTCAATTTCCAATTCTCTAAATTCTTAAATTCTCAAATCCCTAAATTCCTCAATTTCCAGATCCCCAAATTCCTTAATGTCCAAATCCCCAAATTTCTCAAATTCCAACTCTCTAAATTCCTAAATTTTCAAATTCTCAAATTCTCAAATTCTCAAATTCTCAAATTCCTCAATTTCCATATCTCCAAGTTCCTTAATTTCCCAAGTCTTTAAATTCCTCAATTTCCAACTCTCTAAATTCCTGAATTCTCAAATTCCCAAATTCCTCAATTTCCATATCTCTAAGTTCCTTAATTTCCAACTCTCGAAATTCCTAAATTCCAAAATCCCTAAATTCCTTAATTTCCAAATCTCCAAATTTGTCAAATTCCAACTCTCTAAATTCCTAAACTCTCAAATCTCTAAATTCTTCAATTTCCATATCTCCAAGTTTCTTAATTTCCAACTCTCTAAATTCCTAAATTCCCAAATCCCTAAATTCCTTAATTTCCAAATCCCAAATTTGTCAAATTCCACCTCTCTAAATTCCTAGATTCTCAAATTTCCAAATTCCTCAATTTCCATATCTCCAAGTTCCTTAATTTCCAACTCTCTAAATTCCTAAATTCCCAAATCCCTGAATTCCTTAATTTCCAAATCTCCAAATTTGTCAAATTCCAACTCTCTAAATTCCTAAACTCTCAAATCTCTAAATTCTTCAAGTTCTAAATCTCCAAATACCCAAACCCTCAAATCCCCAAATCCCCAGATCCCAAAATTCCCCAACTTCCAAACCCCAAAATTCCCCACCTCCCAAATCCCAAACCCCCCAACTCCAAAAATAGACTTAATTTCCCAAATAGAATTCACAGAAAACCTACCCTAACCTCCTCCCACCCCACCATTAAACCACAAAGTACTTTCCTCCTACAAAATCATCATATCATCATAATTCCAGCAATTTTCCGCATTGTCTCAAACTCAAATTAAATTAACACTTCTTACGAAATTCAACATTAAATTACGTAATTACATTGTGATGTCAGATATGAAAAATGTGATGAATCGTTATACACGTGCACTATTCCTCACTGATTCATACATGCACTTGAAACGAACAACCTTTTGTTTCGCTGTAATTATTTTTGAGTATTTGATTTTCATCGGATAAAACCATGGTCTTTTTGCGGTTTTTTAATCGACGTTATTCCTTCGACATTTCCGTGTCTTGACATTTAATAGATTCTTAGCGATGTGAATAAATTATAGATTTTGAAATGTGTACAAGGTTGAATAAAAAGATTCGTGAGATTTGAACACGTCAATAAGAGTTCACGACCTTCCTGCATTCCGATAATGAACATTCCTGGTAACGATACGCAGCGTAAATAAATTTTTTGATGATAAAATTTCTTGGAGTTCGATAGCGTTATCTATCCCTTTCTTAGGAAGAATAAAAATTTGCAGTTTAGAGCGATCGACAATTACGTGTAGCACGTTTAAAGTTCAGAAAGTGAGATAACATTTGTATCTGCGAATTTCCCGATACAGCATCACGCTTATCGTTTGCACTGAACGAGATGAGAACCATGGAAATACCAAGAACACATCCCGTTCGCACGTTTACGTCGGCCATTCACGAGCCTCCATAAACTGTTCTTTTGTTTTTCTGCTCTCTTGGTAGTGTGTCATCTGTTCGTGAAAAGAAAAGGAACAGAAGGAACTGCGATTTATACCTTCACGGTCATTTTTAGCTCTTATTTGTCTCGGGAAGGAAAACTGAAGGATACCTCCTTTCGATTGGCTTGGGTTTTTCCCTCGGCTCCTCCGTTAGATAATATTCACGCACGATTGCGCGGCGATATAACGCGTGGTAATTTTGACGCAGGATGTTACGCGTGGAGTGGGTGGGAAATTGAATTTTTGTTATTTAGAAAGTATTATGTATAATGTAACGGGGAAGGAAATATAATAAGTGGGAAATATGATGAGATGGCAATATAGCGCGTGGGAAGTATTAGATGGAGATATGAGTTATAAATATAACGTATAGTAAATGCAATGCGTAGGAAATATAATAAGATGAAAATATAATTAGTAGCAAATATAACTTTTAGAAAATATAACATATGACAAATATAACAGGTAGAAAATATAATATATGACATATGTAACATGTGTGAAATATAACATGTGACAAGTATAACATGTATGAAATACAACGTGTAGTAAATACAACATATAAGAAATATAATATATGACAAATATGACATGTGTGAAATACAACATATGACAAATATGACATGTGTGAAATACAACATATGACAAATATGACATGTGTGAAATACAACATATGACAAATATGACATGTGTGAAATACAACATATGACAAATATGACATGTGTGAAATACAATATATGATGAATATAACATGTGTGAAATACAACATGTAGCAAATATAAAATATAGTAAATACAACATATAACGAATATAACATGTGTGAAATATAACATGTAGCAAATATGACATGTGTGAAATACAACATATGACAAATATGACATGTGTGAAATACAACATATGATGAATACAACATGTGTGAAATACAACATGTAGCAAATACAAAATATAGTAAATACAACATATAGCAAATATGACATGTGTGAAATACAACATATGACAAATATAACACATATCAAGTACATCTCTCAAAATACAACACACATAAAATACAACATACAGCAAATATAACACACAGTAAATAAAAACCATATCAAAATACAACTCATACTAATACAAATTCATGCAACTCCTAATAAACACAAATCATTGACGACACAACGCAACGATATAGCTGTATAGTGATGAATCTGCATTCCGATAAATAAGGTCATTAATCTTCAACTTTATTTATTTGTCCAAAGCAGCAAAATATCTACAATCCTACAATAATTATTCCAAGAATATTATTTTAATTTCTTCGCCTTTGATAATTCCTTTGTTCCGACTAAGAAATTGTAATCAAGTTTAATTTTAGTTTAGTGATTAAGTTTTATTGGAGGCTCAGTACAAGATAAACGCTTCTCAATTCGGTATACGATTTACGTCATCGGAATTATTATACGAATACATTGCACCGTGATTAACGCGAAAATTCCATTCAATGGGGTTTTTCGTGAACTTTGAATTTTAGATGCATCGATTGTATTGATACTTGACATTTAAAAATGGCTTGTCGAGAATACGTTGTATCGCCACTCACGAAATAATTAGAAGAATAATTTATCGAGAACCTGTTCCATCAGGAAAAAAATAATTACGTTTGCTAAAAAAAAACTTTATCGATTGTACGTCAAATAGTGGAAAAATTAAATTTTCGATCAATCATTTAAAAAATAAAAAAAGGGGGAATTTGAAATATTCTACCTTCAAATTTATTTAAAAATAAACGAGTGCTTCGGGAGATGCAACATATCGATTGTAAACGATTGAATGAGACTTGGCTATGAATGTTTCATATATTGCATGTCACAGAAAAAATATAGCGACGTTAAATGCTACGTAAAAATTACGAATTTTTATGTGTCACTGTTGTGAACGAAAAAGTTATAAATAAAATATGAAGTGAATATTTTTTCTCGCGTTTATTTTACTTGTTAATTGAAAAAATACTGACAATAGAATAGACAACGTGTGAAAATCGGTAAACAGAAAAATATTCAAAATTTGGTTCCACTAGTTCCCACTTTGCATCGCTAGATGGCCCGCCATTTTGTAGTCCACATGCAGTTTTCTGAATTTTTGAAAATAAAGCTTCCTGCTTACTGTAAAACCATTTGTCTTACCATATTTTGTTCGTAGAATAATTTGCAAGCATTACAATGTTTAAAAATGCTTTATTTTTCGGGGAAACGTGAGTTTTTGTTTTGATAGTTTCACGTTTGACTCCAAGATGGCGGCAGTAATGTGTTTGCTGAGATTAGCGCGCGAAAATATAAATTTAAAAGAAGCATGTAAGTGTGAGAGTTTCAAATTTAGTTCAGACTCTTAAATTAATAATTTTTCAGTAAGATATTCTTTGTTATGTTTGTTTTGTTAGTTAAACAGCTATAATTCTGTAATTAATATACCTTAATTTATATATTTTTTATAATTGAGTGTTCTTGCAAATATATTAAGATGTGAATGTCAGTGTGCAAAAACTTTCAAGATATTTATAAGAAACTATCACTGTTATGCTTATTACCGAGCTGGCAGACGACGTCATCTAATTTAATGTTGAAAACGAGATCATTGCGAATGATCAACGCGATAATGACAAAATTACTCTCTTCGCTCTATGAGATAAATGTCACTTTCAAGGTTCTTACCAATGATGCCCCATGATTTTTCTCCACCCACGCTTTTCCCTTTTTCACCTACCTAAATTGAATAACATAACTTTTCAAAATATTAACTACAAATAAACTTCACTTCCATAACTTCACTTCCATACAAAATTAATGTACATCAAAATTAAGCAAAAGATCATCAATTCATTTTATTGAAATTTTACAGAATAACATCAAAAACGTTTAATATTTAATTCCAAAAAATTATGATTAATAATTGATTTGTATTATTCGTGTTTACTATTGCACATAATTTACAGTTTCATCTGAACGTAAAATAATCGTTAAAGTACACAATCAGAGTCAATTGTCCAATTAATTTTCCACATGTCCGATCTTCCGTCGTTCGCGTGTAACCTGAAATGACACAGGGGTCATCGTACGAATTGTCGCAAATTTATTCAAAAGCGAATTAGCGATATTCTTCCCACGCGTTATAACGCCACTCGTTAAATCACAAGTTTAATTTAAACGTTGTGTAGATACAATGTTATAATGTTATATCGCCGCAAATGATATTTGTGGATATTTAATTTATCATGTGTTATATTTTTTTATATTAACATATGTTGTATTACAATGTTATATCGTCATGTATGATGTGTGTGAAAAGTTTAATGTACCACATATTATATTGCCACATAATATATTTTCTTCATATTAACACATATTACATTGCAATATGTTATATCGCCACGTATGACATTTGTCAAACATTTAATTCATCATATGTCATATTGTCTTCATATTAACATATGTTACATTGCAATGTGTTATATCGCCACGTATAACATTTGTCAAACATTTAATTCATCATATGTTATATTGTCATCATATTAACATATGTTATATTGCATTATGTTATATCACCACATATGACATTTGTCAAATGTTAAATTCACCACACATTATATTTTCTTCATATTAACATGTGTTATATTGCAATATTCTATATGGTCACATATGGTATTTGTCAAACGTTTAATTCACCATATGTTACATTTACCACATATGATACTACAACATTCATACAACGACATGTTTTATACTTGTCATTTTACATATGTTATATTTACCATACGTGACATTTGTAAACCATTGTGTTTATCACATATGATATTTGTCACACACTATATAATCTAAATATCATGTTTCTCATGTGTTATAATTATCATGCATTTCATTTATTATGGCTTGAATTCAACCAATCATTAACATGATGGTCAATCATTAAATGGTTACACATTCCCTTATTTTATTACATTCAATCGTCTCCATCCACACAGACTAATATATAGAGAAAAAAGCTTTGAACAAATCATATACAATTAGTAGATTTATATGGTAATATATGTATATCTTAATATGTATGTATATGAATATGTATGAATATGTATATGCATGAATATGTATGTATATGAATATATGTATATGTACGAATATGTATGTATATGAATATATGTATATGTACGAATATGTATGTATATGAATATGTATGCATATGTGTGTACATGTATATGCATGAATATGTATGTATATGAATATATGTATATGTATGAATATGCATGTATATGAATATATGTATATATATAAATATGTATGCATATGAATATATGTATATGTATGAATATGAATATATGTATATCAATATATATATCTCAATTATATCAGCATACGTATATCAATACATTATTTATAGCAATATACAAATCCACCACATCAATCTCCTAATCCGCACACCTAACATTAAGTTGTTACCAATCATCCTCGTCCCCGCAGCAGTGATCTCGTTAAAGAGAGCGCACCCTTTTACTGAAACAGCTTGTATTCACCTACTTCATGCAGCCATCGTACCATCTATCATACTAAATCACTAAATAGAAAAAGAATAGAAGTCGCTAGATAATTTGTTCGTAGAAGTTTATTGTCTGCGGGAGCGCATCAAATTGCGCCCTACCTAGTCGGTCCGTGGCGACCCACGGACGATATAAAAGCCAGCTTCCACCCGGGACAAGGCAACTACGTATCGACCGTACAACGATCGACGGCATGAACTTTATTCTAGTGCCGTTTCTCCTAGGTCAGTTAGGTCTCTCGATTGCTCGATTTACTAACACCGTGACCGTTTATCGTTACGATCCTCAATGATTCACGAAGGACGGGTCAAGAGCTGTAACGAGTTAAAACGTTGACACCGTTGAATCCGTCCCCGTTGTGTTCGTCGATAATCTAACGATTTCTTCGCGAAGGCCCACCATTGACCCCGTTTTCGAAAGCAGACCTTCAGACTTTTAACTATCGATTAAATTCGCAGGAGTTCGAGTGCCGACGAACGAGGACCAATGGAAGAATGGGCCGGAGTACACTTTCAACGCGAGTTTGGGCATGGTCACCAGCATGGAAGTGGACAAGGGTCAGCCCATGGGATCCAATATGTTCGTCACTTTGAAATGCCGCCCTAAGGAACCCACCAGACTCCACTGTCGCTTCGAGAACGCCCGAATCGCAAAGTTTGTACCGGAGAAGTTCGAAGCCGAGGCTTCCATGCCACCCGCCAACGCGACCTTCTCCGATTTCGGATTCGGGAACGCCTCCTTCGAGATTTTGTTCAACGAGGACGGGATCGAGAATTACAAATTCGAGAACGATGATCGGCAGATGGGTGACTATCTGGTGAACATGTATCGGCTGATCGCGAATCATCTGAGCGTCGGTGTGAAATTCAGGAAGGATGTCCCGTCGCCGTTGCGGAAACTGGAGAACTCGAGCGTAGGCGAGTGCAATGTCACTTACAACGTTTCGCGAAGGAAACTGGACCAGCCGATCTCCATCGAAGAGTTTCAGCTCGTTTGGCTGCCGGATCAAAGGATCGACCCGGAACAGGAAACGGAGATCACTAGGGAAACGCATTTGAGCGACTGTTTGATTCATTCGGTTTACTTCTTTGGTACGAGACACACTTTTGGCATCGTTCCTGTTGGGTCCATGGAGAAACTGGTATGTTATGATTTAAATATTAATTTGGGGGACTAGTATGTACCGCTATTTCGAGATTGAAATCACATATATTCGAAATATGTGCAAACGGCGATATAACACGAGGAAATGTAATGCGTGGTGATATAACGCGAGATAATATAAAGTACAATGATACGCGTGGAAATGTGACGAATAGGGACGCATTACGTAATAATATTATGCATGGCGATGTAACGCGAGGAAATACGATGCGTTGCTATATAACGCGAGATACAAGGTACAGTGATAGTACGCGTGGAAATACGACAAATAGGGGCGTATTGCGTAATAATATTATGCATGGCGATATAACGCGAAGAGGTATGATGTATGGCGATATAACGCGAGATAATAGAAAGTACAATGATAGTACGCGTGGAAATACGACAAATAGGGACGTATTGCGTAACAATATTATGCATGGCGATATAACGCGAAGAGGAATGACGTATGACGATATAACGGATGGTAATACAATGCGTGATAGTTCAACACGTAGTAATTCAATGCTTGTTAGTACAACGCATGGCAATACTATACATGGCGATATAACGCGTGGTAATTCAATGCATGGCGATATAACGCGTGGCAGTGCAATATGTGGCAATATACCGTGTGGTAATGGAACTAGTTATTTAACACATGGTAATTTCTTCGTGTGAAGTTATAGTACGTGGAAACTCTCCCGAGTGGCGATGTAACGCGTGCTAACTCTATCAAGTGGCGATATAACGCGTGGTAACTCAACACTTGGTAATACCTTCGCGTAAAATATGAACGCGTAGTAATACCTTTATGTAGCTATTTGACACGTGATAATTCTCCTGGATGGCGATATAACGCGTGGTAACTCTCCCAAGTGGCGATATAACGCATCGTAATTTAATACGTGGTAATACCTTTGCGTGGTGTACTAACGCGTAATAATACCCTCATATTGCTATTTAACACGCGATAAATCTCCCGAGTGGTGATATAACGCGTGGTAACTCAACATTTGGTAATACCTTCGCGTAAAATATGAACGCGTAGTAATACCTTTATGTAGCTATTTGACACGTGATAATTCTCCTGGATGGCGATATAACGCGTGGTAACTCTCCCAAGTGGCGATATAACGCATCGTAATTTAATACGTGGTAATACCTTTGCGTGGTGTACTAACGCGTAATAATACCCTCATATTGCTATTTAACACGCGATAAATCTCCCGAGTGGCAATATAACGCGAAGTAACACTACGCGTGGCGATATATCAAAACGTACAACAACACATTGCGACATAACACAAAATACAACAATCCGCAATAAAACGCGATTATGATATAAAGCGTGATAAAACGTATGGTAATTAAATCCGTGGCGATATAACGCATAGTAATAATTCATGACCATATAACAATCTTTAACTAATAATAAAAATAATACAAAAGTAGTGTAATAATAATATTAGATCGTATACGATTCATTAAATGTTAAATAATTTGTATAATCCAATTTCCAGCAATCATCTACCGGACGCATAATCATCTCAAGCTCGAACTTCACATCAGAGAGCACCAACAAGGTTGACGTGTACAACACAAAGAGGAAAATGATCGGAAGTGTTTTGGACCACATCCGTTTAACTTTGGTCTCCGTCACTCCTCTCACGTCGGATTTCAAGGAAATTACGAACCCAATGAACATTGGTCCTATATTGAACAAATCGTCTATTGATTACTAATTACTAAAGATTGATCTGTTAGCACCTTATGTATGTAGTAAAATAATCGCATTTGAAAGACTGAATCTTTTCTTTCACTTTGTCCTTTTTCCCTTAATGTACCATTACTTGTTATGATAACTGCAGAATAATTTGCTTTGTAGCGTAAAAACTTATATAATAAAACATTAACATATCTTCTTACACCCTTTTCGAATATTATTCTTTTAACATAAGTGTCACTAAGTTAAGAGGATTAATGTCTTGTAATTAAGTCACAAGATGTTGAATTAAATCTTGCAATCACAAGATATTAAAGTAAAAATGTAGCAAATAATATCACAAGATATTAAAGTGAAAATATAGCAATATACTATACAGAACCGATCAAAAATTTTTATACGATCATATCGTTATGCGCTCTTTGATCTTGTGGAAATTATCCTGATACCCGATAATTGCTCCTGTAATTAGTTTGCGACCATTCAACCCTCGTAATGTCTACATCAACTTTAAGGGTAACTAGATTTCGACTAAGTGTCCATGTGTGCCATACCTGATAAACCCTTGCACTTCTACCGTCCATACCAATAAATCCTTCTTTGAGATCATTACAATCGATCACTTCGTGTTCCAATCCTAGCAGATAAATCCTAAAATGTCGCAACTCAGAAACAACGGCCATCCCTTCTAACTCGTACAAATAGCACCATTGATCTGTTGTTGTTTGTTCACTAAAGCAAGCTATCACTGCAAGTTCTTATCTTGTTCCAATAGCATTGCTCCTATCAAACTTACATCCATATAAAATTTGCTTTAAAATCTCAGGTCAGATATACAAAACACCAAGCGAGTTACAAGCTTTTCTTTGACCTGGTGAACGACTTCCTATACTTCTTAACCCTGTCAGGAGTTCGATGATCGCAAACTCTTTTATTGCATTCAATTTCCGACAATCAACGCACATTCTAAAGATCCTACTTTTCTTCACAAACGCAATAGAACTTGCGTACCGTAAATCGGATTCTCTGATTGTACCGCTATCCAATAAATCTTTTATCATCTCGGGCAGTGATACGATTGGTTTATTCGAGACATTTAATATCCATCGTTTTCTTAAGATCTTAAAATTCCAGTAGCGCAGCTAGCGATTTCTGAAATTCAAAACAATTGCTTTTATCAGCAATTGATTGATTGCTTCACCAAAAGTAGCAGAGCGTTAGCGTAATTCAACGTATTTCACCACATCTCAGACAACAACGTACAAAGCGAAGTAACTTAAAAAGCCCTGAAGCAATGTAAAAAACCTTGAGTCAACGTAAAGATCCTGAATATTGGGAGTGTAGGAATTTGAGGATATAGGGATTTGGGTATGTGGATATTTGGGAATGTGGAGATTTGGGAATGTAGGAATTTTGGAATGTGGAGATTCAGCGCGTGGAAATACCACGCGTAGAAATACAACGCGTCGAAATACAATGCGTGGAATTATGGCGCATGGAAGTACCACGCGTGGAATTATGACGCGTGGAAGTATCACGCGTAGAAATACCATGCGTGGAATTTTGACGCGTGCAAGTACCACGCGTGGAATTATGACGCGTGGAAGTATCATGCGTGGAAATATCACACGTGGAATTATGGTGCGTGGAAATACCACGCGTGGAGTTATGACGTGTGGAAGTACCACGCGTGGAAATACCATGCGTGGAATTATGACGCGTGGAAGTATCATGCGTGGAAATACCACGCACGGAATTATGGTGCGTGGAAGTACCACGCGTGGAACTATGGTGCGTGGAAATACCACGCATGGATTTATGACGCATGCAAATACCACGCATGGAATTATGGCGCATAGGAGTACCACGCGTGAAATTATGGTGTGTGGAAGTACTACTTGTGGAATTATGGTGCGTGGAAATACCACGCGTGAAGTTATGACGTGTGGAAGTACCACGCGTGGAAATACCATGCGTGGAATTATGACGCGTGGAAGTA